GATTGCAAAAAGCCGCCTATCTATTGACCAGATAGGCGGGATATAAATAAAATAAATAAATAAAATAAATAGATAGCGAAAAAACTCTAATGCGGGGTAACTGTCTAGCAAGGCACCACTGTAAATAAATAATCCCTAATTCATGTAACAGACACCACAAAGCAAAAAGCTGTTAAATTGTTCCTTAAAATGAAAACATGCTTGAATACCTGTTAAATGTCCACTCATTGTTTTATCATGGCTATTGAATAACTGCCTGTATTTCAGACGTGATGATTGAGGAACTGCCCATTCTGCTGCTGGTGGTGCACTAGAATTACAAACAGACACAATCCCTAATTCATGTAACAGACACCACAAAGCAAAAAGCTGTTAAATTGTTCCTTAAAATGAAAACATGCTTGAATACCTGTTAAATGTCCACTCATTGTTTTATCATGGCTATTGAATAACTGCCTGTATTTCAGACGTGATGATTGAGGAACTGCCCATTCTGCTGCTGGTGGTGCACTAGAATTACAAACAGACACAATTACTGTATCTCATTATCATTCCATCATACTCCAACATGACAAAATAAAAGAAGGGACAATAGTTTCAAACTAATCCATATTCTTATTTGTGATCAACTTTTTGAAATAGCTGCTCACTTTTTCTTTAGATTTAACACCACTTAATGAGTTATTAAGAACCCCAGTTGTAATCAGTATGTTCCTCTGTTGCACTAAAAAAATTAACACATTTGCCATTCATAATTGGGAGTCTAAAGTAATATTCCTTTTAATATTATGCCAAGAACTTTTGTTCTAACTTTTCTTCTTGCCAGTCTTTTTATAAGAATGGAATGTTTATTTAATACCTATTCATAACTGTCTCTCTTCTTCAGTGTCTTCTCTGACTTCTTTACCCTTCTGTTTTTTACCATGCAAATTCACTTAATAAAAATACCAACAAGTGTCAAATTGATTCTGACTTACAACAACCATTTCTAGAGGTTTCTAGGTATAGAGTACTATTCACTTCTGAAGGCATCCTAACGTTGTGGAGCTTGCCAAAGGCTACACAGGCTGACTGTTCTTTTGGGAGGCATGGTGAGAAATCAAACACCCAACCCTTGCCTGCTTGGTCAGGTCTAACTCATTGAGTTACCCAGGCAATGCTTAAAAAGTATGCAAACAAATCAAATTGTCAACCATGCTATTTTCATTAAAATCAAAATAAGTTACAAATACCAGCTGATAAAATCACAGATTAAAAATTTTGTGAACCAATGTGATCTAATAAATAAATAAAAGCAGACAGAAGTTTTAATTTGAAGATTTCAAACGAGAATTCTAGGGAGTTTCAATTTACAGACCATACTAAACTATGATTTGTGCTTCCAAATGTACTGAAACTTTATGGTTTAAAATTATTTAGCTGCTTTTTGTTTTTCCAGGTACTCAGGATTCCAATATTTATTGGGCAGTATTTATTGGGCAGTATGTTCCAACAGCTGTATTACAGTTGCCAGTTTACAGATCAAAAGCTGTTACAAACCAAATTCTGCAAACATGCTTCAAAAATGATTGCCCACTGGGTACAAAGCATGGTCTGTAAATCTAACACCATACAACTATAACTAAGTTTCCATAGTCACCAGAACTGGGCAGCCTAATTCCATCACCAAAAAGACTCTACAGTATTCTGGTATCTGCTCTAACCCAATGGTGAGCTACCCAAAGCTTCTAAACCTCTGGCCACTTCAAGTCTTTAAAAGGGCTTAAAACAATTAGGTCCATTCCCAACTTCTAAAATTCCTGCACTATCCTCTAGAGCAATGGTCCCCAACCTTGGGCCTCCAGATGTTCTTGGACTTCAAATCCCAGAAATCCTGGCCTGCAGATGTGGTGGTGAAGGCTTCTGGGAGTTGTAGTCCAAACACATCTGGAGGCCCAAGGTTGGGGACCACTGCTCTAGAGAACATGAAGGAGCATTATAAATAATGTAAATATATATTTGGGAATGGTGGTGTATGACCTTTTAAAATCTTCAAGTGGTCATGTGCAACCCCAGAATCTCTAGACCAGCTAATAGTGAAGACTTCTTGGAGTTTTAGTCCAAGATCATCTGGGCGTGCAAAACTGAAAACCACTGCTCTAGACACTGTCCATTCCTTCCCAAAGCTATGCTGGATCCAAACAAGATAACATTTACCTTGAATTATGCTTAAAAGCATATTAGCAGCTAGAGCAAAAACACACCTGGATAACTTCTAATGGTTCATCTTTGCCAATGGACAGATATGTTGCATTTTTACTGATGCTTCCCAAAAAAGATCCCATGAAATAAATCAAGGCTTCTAAGAGCTCCTGTAGAATCAGTTGTCCCCAATCTGTCTCCAGATCAATATTGTCCACCGTGGCTACCACTGCAATCCCAGCCTGAATCCATAATAAAACAATGCTGCATAATTTACCATGTGCCCCATCACAGTGCTTCCAAATTTCATTCATGTTAAAAGCAATCAATGTGCTCAAACCTGTACATGTTAAACTGCACTGCACAACCCTATTTCTTCCTTTTTCCATTTATTCTAAGATACTTTTGGCAAAGAACAGTTTTTTACTCTGTGTAAAGTTCTCAGTCTACTTTTAGACAGAACATAATTTTCCTTCTTTAAAATTCAGATTCATTACTTATTATAATACATGAAACACTTGATTTTACCCAATAAATTACACACAGCAGGCTGATATGACAACTGAGGAAACGAGCAGTTGCTTTCCATTTCCACAGCAACTATGAATATATATGTTTGGGGGGGGGAGGAAAGAAAAATGAGGCATATATTAACACCACAGACAGAATAAAGGGGGGTGGGGAAGACATCCTGGCTCCATGGCACAGACTGTATCCCAACAAGAGACAATGGATTTCTGCTGCAAGGACGGAAAGGGAGAAAAGAAGCCTTATTTAAGATATTGTGAGACCCCAGGACAGGTACAGGAGGCATATGTAGGAGTGCCGTCACTCCCAGCACAATCTAAGGAGACACAGACCTCACCTCCACCTTCTCCACCTAGAAAAGAAAGCAAGGAGGTGGACACTAAAGAATTGGAGGAGCTAGAGGAAGAAAGGATCAAAGACATCAAGGGGTAGATACCCAGAATCTGATACGGGAAATGAAGGGGTTAAATGTGTCAGTACAAACTGGTGAGGATTTGGCGGGAAAAGGGGGAGGATCGATAGAGGTGGGGACAGGGGGATATAAGGGAGAGGCGGGATGACATCCCGGGCGGTTGGGAGATGATATGGGTCCAGGATCCCTGGACCCGCAAATGGGAACAGGTTAAGGTTCTTCATGAGGATGCTGAATGCCGGAGACACCAAGGGCAGCAACCGCGTCTGTCTTACTAGGGAGAGACGGAAGCGAAGGAGTGGAGGCGTCGTCTGAGAGAGGAGCGAGAGGCGTCGTCTGAGAGAGGAGCGAGAGGCAGTGGTGAGGGAGCTCGAGGCCAAGAAAACATGGCATCTTGCGGAGCTCCAGAAGATGGGAGTCTTCCCGGACCGTGGCTGGCCAGTCCGAGAGAGGGGTCCCCATTCTGGGGTTGGAGCGGAGATGAAGAGACCCTTCCGCTATTAGCCGACGAGAAAGAAGAAAGTGAACCACCGGTTACAGAGAAGGTTTTATCTGGACTGTGGAACTTTGACGAACTAAACCCGTTTGTTAGCAATGTTTGGACACCCTTGCAGTCGAGGTTGAGATGGCAAGAGACTTTAAACCCAATACAAAAAGAAGTTACAGTTAATGTTGAAGTGTTAATAAATGAGGACAATGCTGTTGATTTTAAACCGTCTCGTACTTTATTGAGTGTGACATAAGCCCCTAATATCGAACCCTCACAAATGTACTTTTGTATGAGCTTGACAAAAGACATCAGACAGTGGTAAAATAACAATATGCAAGAATTCTCTAACATCCAATAACAGAATAGATGTTATGTATTGCCTAAACCAACGATGAGGGCTTACAAACATATCTTGCTATAATTGGTTTTCCAGACGGTATCCACACCTTATCACTTGTTTTGAAGACTGTCTCTTTTTAGGTGCATTTCTATAGCACACAGAAAAAGATGTGCAATACAATATGTACTTCACACTATTCATGATCCATCCTACACAAAAGCATGCTTTTCAATAGCAATGCATTCTTTAGCTTCAGATATTATGCATTTGAATTGCTCTATTGTACTCCAAAGGCACATCCCTGAAACCAGATAGTTACAAGTAGCCTCCTCAAACTGAACAGGAACAATGTCTGAGGAACTGCAGGACTACAGTGGTGCCTCAACTTACAAATGTCCCAACTTCCGACTATTTTGAGTTATGACCAGCTCTGGTCACAAAATGTTGCTTCGACTTGTGACCAGGAAAAAAAGGGAGGGGAAGGCGGGGAAAGCGGGAAATTTGAAGTGCTTTCAGTTAACCATTGGTCAGCGAAGAGGCTGCTTCTCTGTACCTCTTTCACTCCAGTGGTTAGAGAGTGTGGGTTTGGAAAGAGACTTCAGACTGCCTGGTACTGCCTAGGACTGTACTGTATTTTTTTGGCTTTTCTTTCATTTTTGCTTTTTGGATTTTTGACTTTCTTTTTTAAAACAGAGAGATTGCCTGTTCTGGGTGAGTACTGTATGTACTGTACAGGGTTTTTGCAGCGTGGGTGTGGGCTAGGTGGGGGGTTATGTTTCTGTGCTCTAATGGGTCTTGCAGTGTGGGTTTAAAATGTGAAGATTATACTGTAATATTAAATTAAAATTAAATGTGAAAATTAGACTGTAATTTTAAAATGTAAAATAGACTGAGAGGTCTGTTTGTTGGAACAATAAAGCGTGCCTATGATCTGAGCATAGACCTTTGATGACCTTCTTTCTTTCCTTTTTTCCCCTTTGTTCCCTCCCTCCATCCTTTCCTGCCCTTTTTTAAACCTGTCATCTTAGGTTAAAAGAAGAAAAATTCTCCCCCTAGTAGTAGTGGATGGATTAACCGCTTTTGCATTAGTTCCTATGGGAACGAATGCTTCAATTTGCAACCGGCGCCTCAAGATACAACAAAAAAAACAGATGGAACAGATCAATCGTGTTTCAATTCATTTCAATGGGAAATGGTGCTTTGACTTACGACCATCTGAAGTTTCAAGCATCTTCTGGAACAGATTAAGTTCGTAAGTTGAGGTACCACTGTACTATGGCGAAAGTAATACCAAAGTGCATAAGGATTTGTCATACTTACCCAGCCACATCAAATGATTGTGCCTTTTGCAGTTTTGCATTTAACTGGGAACCAGCACCAGACCTGCTGAAGGAAGAACTCTTTGGCAACGTGGCTGAAATATAACAATTATGTTTTAAGTTTAATGGAATTCAATACTAAGCACAGTCAAACATATAATAGTATTAACAGTAGGGTGTTTTTCCCCAGACTTCTTGTGCAGAGCTTAATGGGCAGATATTGCCATCTCTATAATCCCCTTCAATTCCCACAGAGTTTAGTCCTGCCCATTTTCCCTGTCTTTTCCATAGGACAAATATGGCGATCAGAGTCAGAATTCAATAGCGTAAGAACTTGAAAACATCTATCAAGACTTTAATGTCTTGATTAAAGCTCCAAGTGTGGCTGGGGGAATTCCTGGGGGGGGGTGCAGTTTGTGAATTCTGAGATTCCCATGTCTATCAACATACAATTATTCTGAAATGACAAATTATTCAGATTTGCAAATTATCTCTTAAAAGGTATTCAAGTTTTAAAAACCAAAATTTCAACTGAAATGTGGATATATCTATTTAATAAAGGTTCCTCGTTTTCCATTAAAGGAAGAATGTTTGCTCAAGATGATTTTTCCACCCACTTCTTCCCATTGCAAAGACTTGTGTCCCTAGCAAAACGTCTCACAAGGAGATGAGCATATGGAAAGGTCCTGCAACGGGAGGAGACTTTTAAATAAGGCCAAGGAAATGGGCAAAGCCTGCTACATGGTGAAACAAGCAAACAAACAAACAAACAAGAAATGAAAAGGTAATGTAGTCTCGAAGGCTTTCATGGCCGGGATCTGATCGTTGTTATAGGTTTTTTGGGATGTTCGGCCGTGTTCTGGAGGTTTTTCTTCCTAATGTTTTGCCAGTCCGAAAGGATCTTCAGAGAACAGGAGTTTAGAACTCTGTGTTTTGGTGTAGTGTGTGGGATAGTTGAATATTTGTAGCTGTGGGATCAGCTTTTTGCCCTTTTCAGGAGACTGGTTGATTATGGTGATCAGGGTGTTTTTTGTTGTGGGTGTATTGCACAGCTTCAACAAAAAAGAAGGAAGTCTAAAACTCAACAAAGCTTGGCGCCCAGCACTGAAAAATACAGCCTGCAATGAGATCAACGAACTCTACCCAGCATAAGGACTGGTGATCACTGCACACACCCATACCTAATGACACCCATCAATTACAGTGACAGATTATCTCCCCCCCTTATCACAACAATACACCCATAACAAAAAATACGCTGATCACCATAATCACCCAATCTCCTGAAAAGGAGAAAAAGCTGATCCCACAGCTACAAATACTCAACTATCCCACACACTACACGAGAACACAAAGTTCTAACTCCTTTCCTCTGAAGATGCCAGCCAGAGATTGGCGAAATGTTAGGAAGAAAAACCTCCAGAACACGGCCAAACAACCTGAAAAACCTACAACAACCAATGAACAGGTAACTATAGTGAAACAAAGAACATTATTAATAAATAAAGGTAAATAAAAGACAAAAACAGAATTAACCAGAGAAATACATGAGCAAAAAGGACAAAAAAAAGGTTTCTGCCTAAGTTTGCTGGTACATGAGTGATGGAGGGTGTGGGAAAGGCTCACACCGAAAAATCAGTTTAGCTCTGCAATGTTCCAAGATATTTTATTTATTCATTTATTTATTTTATTTATATCCCGCCTATCTAGTCAATAGACCACTCTAGGCGGCTCACAACAGGGGTACAACAATAACTAAAAACAAATTTACAAAGAAGAAAACTTTCAACCATGAAATTATACACTAAGAAAAAGAAAAAAGGAAAATCAGGATTAGATAGGTTCTGTTTTAGTACAAAACCCAACTGTGTGATCCACAGAGAAGAATAGGTTTGTGTGATGAATGACCGTGAACACCTAGATAATATAGATATATAGACTGAGTGCTAGTATGACTGGCAAAATGATGACAGAATGTTGAATGCACAGCTGACTGGTGACTGACAAGTGACTGGGAGGTTGATGTCATTGAGAGAGCTGGTTTTGAGTGTGTAAAGGTGTGTTGAATAATTGGTAGAAAGTAGTCAGAGAGAGAGAGACTAAATGGCAGAATCTATCTTGTGAAAGAGAACCGAAAGTTGTTACTGAGAGTAAACTGTGTAGGATGTTTGTGAAAGCAGATATTCCAAATCTGAATATAGAAAAATATATTTATACTTAACAATCTTTTTGCTCTTTATCTGTTATACCTAAAATTTACCTTTCCCTTCTTACCTTATCTGTTACCTGAAAACAACCCTTGTTTGTTCAGAACTAAACTCTCCTCCTTTAATTTTATGAATACCTTAGAAGATATTAAGCAGTCTACAAACAGAAAAACGTATACCCACGTCATGCAGGGCTTGAAAGAGAAATCTTTTCACTCAGTAGCTGAATACAAAATAGACACCAGATTGGGGAAACAAAGGATGCTCTGGCTGGGCCACAGTAAAAGGGGCAACCCCCAAAACTTGGGGTTGCTTGTCCTTTGGGCTAAAGTCTAATTTAGCAGTACTAAGAAGTGTGAAAGGTTTACTTGAAAAGAGGTGCCTGCAGCTCCCTGGGAAATGTGTGATCCATTAGTGTGAAAATTAGTGGAAAGGGGTGCTCCCTGGGTTAAATGACATACCTATGTAATGACATTAAAATCCTGTTCTCCAAATCCTATGTTTACTTAATTATGTTTGTTGTTGTTTAGTCGTTAAATTGTGTCCAACTCTTCATGACCCTATGGACCAAAGCATGCCAAGCCCTCCTGTCTTCCACTGTCTCCCGGAGTTTGGTCAAATTCATGTCGTTAGCTTCGATGACCCTTAATTATGCAACAAGTCTTTATCTCTGAGAAGGCTATACAAACCAGTTTTTTACACCCAAGAATTTTTTTTAAAGCTGAATATAAATTGGGAAGTAACTCTGTATTAAACTTTAAACATAATTTGAAAAGTAACAATTAAACAAATGTAGTACTGTAAAAGCGACAGTGTTGTTGTAATGTACTTAATTAACTAAGGACACCACTTTTTAATTCTGAATTTCCAAATAACATACTGTTGAAATACCAGCATGTTTAATCTAAAATTTCCAGAATATTTTTCAACTTATAAAGCTTCAACAATATAGTATGGATAACATAGTAAATGAAAAAACAGTATGTAACAAATTCAGCAAACTACCCCAGCTATTCTAAGCTTTAATGCTCAGAGTAGAAGTAACTTGACTTCATACATGTGATGATGCCATTTTGAAAGCATAATTTGGTTCTCTTTTGAATATTCTAAAGCTATATTCATAGCACCTTCTAGTTTTTTCCCCATTTATATGGAGAACAACACACCGTTTTGCAAAATTGCCAGTAATTCAGCATACCAGTATGACTGAAAGCAGGCAGAGGTTGGATAACAGCAGGTGCTCCATTAGCCAGGGGAGGGACGGCTGCTGTAGGAACAGAAGATACTAAAGGTGGTGACATTCCCACTACTGGAATGGGCGCCATTGGCACTGGAGCAACAGCTGTAAGAGGAGGTATACTGGGAAGACCACCTATACCTACAAGAAACAGACACAATTTTCTCTTTATCATATTTTACAAACAAAAGGCATACATGACCACACACTCATTCAGGCATCGAGATACACCAGAGGTGGACAATGTTGGTTCCTTGGGTCAACTCTCCTGTGGTTTAAATATGGCCTTCTGGGCTTTCTCTGATAGCCATGTGCCCTTCCTCAGGTCAGCATTATTTGGTGGATTCTTTCCCTCATTCTATAATGTCTCTTTTAAGTATAATGTCTTTTTAAAGGGTTAGTTCCTTTTGACTTTGGTTCACTGGAATGCACCCCCTGAAGAATTCCCTGAAATTGAATTTGGTTCATGGGTGGAAAGTGCTTTCCCATTCTTGTGCAACACTATGGTTTAGACTGCCTTGCGCTCATCAATTCCTCCATACTCCCTGCTCCTCTAGCATAGCCATAAAGACACTAAAAGCCTGTTTATTTTTAACTAACCAAAGTTTATTCTCACATTCAAACCTGGGCTAAGGTGGTTTATCTTAACTGTGGGTTACTGACAAAAGAAAACTTCATAAACTAGCTTGACACTGACTCCCCCCCCCCACTAAACCAATTAAGGAGAGTTTGTCCTGAGCAGCGACATATTGATCAGCTGTTGCTACTTAAAAATGGAAGCAAAAATGTCAAATACCTCCTTATAATAAAGACAGTGTGAAGAAGGCTCAAGCTGAACAATGGTCAGCTGTTCAATAAATAGGAATAGGATTTTCTGATCTCTTGGATATCACTTGGACTGCAGATGCCAACATTTTCCATTCTGGACATTCTACCTGACACATATCTAAATGTGGCACACCTGGGAGAAAACTGCAGTTGGAAGGTTTTGAGGCTGAGCTAGGCCTAGCTTCCTGTTCATAAAGACTGCTCCCAACTAGCAGGAACAGGAAGCTTGCATGAAGGTGGGCCTAGCTCAGTCTCAGAATCTTCCATCTGAGGCCCTTCAGGTGAGGCACATTTAGATGTCTGTCTGTCAGGCAAAACTCACAGAAATAAGAGTCTGCATTATATCCAAAGTAGTCCTGCAATTCTGATACTACAATAACAATAAAAATACAATTAGGGTTGGGGCTTGGGGGTTGAATCACAGAGCCTAATGGTCTCCTTATATGACCCTCAAGAGAACAGAAAGGACTAGAGCCGTGGCAAAAAGCCTAAATGGAGCCCCATAGGGCTGACTCAAACTCTTGGCAACTCATACATATTTTATTTTGAGGGGAAAAAATTACAGGCAGAGCACAACCAATTGTATATAGTTACAGACGGGCAGGGCATTATTTTCACTTTCAAGATACATCATTCTTCTCTATAGTAAAATGGTACTTGTTCCCAAGTAAATGTATTTCCAATCTGGGCAGGAGATAACACTCCATTTCATTTCTACAATGGCAATGATATGACATAAGTATATTTAAAATGTAAAACTGCATGTGCTCAAAAGTATTTTTTTTTAAATCAGGAACAGCAAATGGGGTTGTTGTTTGCTTTATTATCAATATAAAAGCAGCTGAAAAGGGTGGAACAGTAGTGGAGCATGGTGAGAGAAGACATGCTTCAGAACTCAATATCATCTTCTCAAAAAGCCACCTAGCTGCACAACAGACTGCTAGCTGTAATAGAAAACAAAATGACCAAACAACCTTCAAAGATCCAGCAATTATCAAGGAAGGAAGGATATGACTCCAATGAAAATCTTCCATGAAATCAGAGTCAAAGCTTCCAAAAAATACCTCAGAATCTGCTTTAAAAAAGGATACATTTCATGCCACTGTGAGTACACCACACATTTTAAACAGCAACATACTGTACAAAAGCTTCACACAGAGCACAGGCTATCATACTGGTAGATCTGAACCATCATCTTCAAATTGCAGAGTTGGAAGAGATCCTAGGGATCACTGAGCCCAGCCCCTATAATGGAGGCACATTGAGGAACTCAACTTCCAACCTCTAGCTCTGGAGAACTGATATCTAAACCAGCAATTCATGGTGGTCAAGTATAAAAACAAGTCAAACCACCAATTTTATTATGTTAAATAAACCAACAGGAAACACTACAGGAAGTAAAAGAAACTACTTAGTTCAAAAGGTTCAAAACATATGCCCAGCAAAAAATGATACAGTTGTGCCCCGCTTTACGACGTTTTTGCGATCGTTTTTGCAATTGCAAAACAATGGTCTAAATAGGGTTTTTTCATTTTACGATGATCGGTTCCCTGCTTCGGGAACCGATTCTTCGCAAAACGACTATTTTCCAACAGCTGATCGGCAGTTTCAAAATGGCCACTGGGTAAATAAAATGGCTCCCCGCTGTTTTCTGGGATGGATTCCTCACAAGACAGCCACCAAAAATGGTTGCCCTATGGAGGATCTTCGCTGGACGGTGAGTTTTCAGCCCACTGGAATGCATTGAAGGGGTTTCAATGTATTTCAATTGGCTTTTTATTTTCGCATTACGACATTTTTGTTCTACAGCGACTTCACTGGAATGAATTAACGTCGTAATGCGAGGCACCACTGTATATGGTTTTGTAGAATGTGTGTCAGTGACCATGAGACCTAGGGCTAGAAAGATGACATGACATATTAGAATACAAGTCATAGGACACAGCCAAGAAAATTATGCATGAGGATATTTTTCCTGCAATGTCTCTACAGCTAATAAGGCATTTGTGAATTTAAGAAGGGGAAGATGCAAGAATTGTAAAGGAGGTAGAAAAAACCAAGAGAGTCACAGCTGAAGTACAAATCATAACAGTTACTACAATCTTATTAAAATAGGCTCTAAATGAAATAGCAGTATGTTGAAAGAATGACAACTAGATCATGGTTCAGAAGTATTAACAGCAAAGATAAAATAAATCTGCTCTTACCAAACCCTGGTGCACTAGAAATGGCAATGGGAGGCTGTTTCATAGCAGGAGGCAATGCAGAAGGGAGCTGATAACCTTGCAGCTTAAGTTTGATAAGTTTCATAGCTATAGAAAACTCCAGCTGATCCATTCTCCCATCATTGTTCATATCTGCCAGTGCCCTACAAAATCAAAAAACATTTGTTTGTTTGTTTAAAAAGACCTTGCAAAGTGTTCTAAAAGCTAATGAAATCAAAAGTTTCCAGTTCCAAATTGTGGCAACCATAATTATACCCATCAAACCATAAGTCACTTAAGCCTTGTCATAACCTAACCATGTTCAACAGTTGACTACTAGCAAGTATCCTGTTGTGTAACTTTGTGCAACAGCAGTGACTTTGCTGGTGGTAGCAGGCAGCCACCAATTAAATATTTCCCCTTTGAAATTTGGGACACATCCAACTTTTTATCATTGCGTTTGTATCACTGCATTTGAGCTGAAAAGGAACTCTTTCATTGAGAGCAATATTCCACAATTGGTGACATCACTCCTGTTGAACAGGCAGAGCGATGTAACATGATACTGGCCACTGTTCTTTAAATCCACAAGTTTAAAACAATTCCTTAACAGCACCATTGTTGGTCATCAATTTAATACACTAATCTGCCCTTAAGCAAGCCTGCTTTGTCACCTTTTAAATTCAAAACATTCTCAAAATTGAACCACATGTCAGTGCCACTAGTGGGTTTTGCTATGGCAAGAAGCAAGGAACTACAGAGTACAGTACAGGAAATGATTACTTCGACATGGTTTCCCACAGAAAGGGCTACAAAATGAATAGTGTAATACTCCCTACTCGTCAATTCTTCCCACCCTCCTCTTCACATTTAATCTATTCCAAGATGAAAGAACAGCTTTTGTCTGGATACAAAAACATTTTAAAGCTGGATCCCAACCCTAGAGTGTCAATAGGACACATATCCTCTTTGTCTTTAAGACTACACACTCATTTTTGCTCAGTTTTCAAAACTTCAGCACACTTACAATTACAAAGAAGAATTCATAGCTTAGCAGTGAAGTGCTCACAAGCTGTGAACACAAAAGGTCCCATATTTGATGTCCTTGGTTAAAAGGGATTTCTTGCAAGAGGACGAAAAAAGGTTTCTGCCTGAAAAGCTGCTATCAGACAGAGTAGACAGCATTCAACAAAATGTGACCCATTTTTATATATTCATTTGCACATTTACTCAAGAGTAGGGCTCACTGAATTTAATTTCCTGATATACTTTTCACCTTGCCACCTGAAATTTCATAATGTTCTCTCTCTTTTTTGTTCACACTGTCTATCCAATTGCCTGGCATCCCAGTTCTCTGCCTGCTATTTACAGTGCTCCTCTATTTTATCAAAACAACTTATCGTGAAGATTTGTAGCATAACTGCAATAAAATAGCTGAAACTTTAAAAAAAAGGCCTCACGACATTTCAATTTTTCTGCACATAAAAAGCTGCTGAAAAGTAAAAGCTTACCATATCTGTGCTAAAACTGGTTGAGGCAAACCAGACTGGAAAAAAAAGTTCCTGGCTTGATCACCTGTCAATGAGAAGGGAGTTATGGAATGTTATCAAAATCTCAAGTAAATCTCAGAAAAAAGTGACCAATCATAATAATGCAACAGGTGTAGTGTTTTTATGACATGTTTTACTTTTTCTGCAACCTATGTTTGTGTTTATGGGTGGGTTTAAACATGTTTGAGTAATGTGGTGAGAAAAGCCAATTACTCATAAACATGTCTGAACATGTTTATGGGTTTAAATGTAGGTTGCAGAGAAAATGTGAACTGTCATAAAAATCCTCCACTAAGGATCACACAACATGTACAGGTATTCCCACAGATCAAACATAGATTACCACATTGGTGGAACTTTCCACACAGTGGATGTTTAATAGGATTCTGGCCTTATATTTTAACACAGATATTAAAAAATACTTGTACTGAGATAATGGGTTGTATCCAACAATTCTGCAAGCAGAAGGCAACTTGTGTAATAAATATTTTGTCTCCCAACAGGACTTCTACATTGTCACAAACAGAAGTATCTGCACTTCAGTCAATCGGAAATTCACACTGCACTAATACCAGCTTAGACAGAAGAAAAGGAAACATATGGTTCCTGCTGCCTAGTACATTTTAACAGCTTTTTCTTTATGAGAATTATGTGTCTCATGGAAGTAAGAGAGCAAACACTTTCTCCACAGGAAACATTCTTACTTAATGAGCCTCGTGGCGCAGTGGTTTAAACGCTGTACTGCAGCTAAAACTGTGCTCACGACCTGGGGTTCAAATCCCAGGTAGCCGGCTCAAGGTTGACTCAGCCTTCCATCCTTCCGAGGTCGGTAAAATGAGTACCCAGCTTGCTGGGGGGGCAATGTGTAGCCTTTATAATTAAAATTGTAAACCGCCCGGAGAGTGCTTGTAGCGCTATGGGGCGGTATATAAGTCCAATAAATAAATAAATAAATAAATAAATTAAATAAATAAATAAACTGTTGTTCTTTGAGTGGTTATTTGTGAATTCAAACATGTGAGTGCTTCTATGCCTGGTGAAACCTCATCAAAACATTCCAGAGCTTAAAGGAAAAAATACTACTAGGGCAGCCACTCCTTCACTGCACATGTCCTCATGCCTAATGGTTACCCTCAATTCTCTGTGTCCAACGCTGTCTATTATAACAATGGTATGGAAGACTGAGGAAAGGATGGGAAGGTTGTATGAATTCACAGGTGACCACTCAAAGAACCACAGTTACAGGTAAGTACAGTGGTGACTTGACTTACAAACACCCTGACCTATGAACATTTTGAGTTACGAACAGCTCTGGATGCTAAATATTGCTTTGAGTTACAAATGCAGCTTTGACTTACAAACAAGAAAAAAAACCTTTCCTGCCCTTTTTTGACCTAAGTTCATCTTAGGTCAAAAGAAGAAAAAAGAAAAAAAAAGCCTTTGCAAACACAGAAAATATTCTTCCCCTAGTGGTAGAGTACAGATTAACCGGCTTTGCATTAGTTCCTATGGGAACTAATGCTTTGACATATGAACCGTGCCATGACATAACGACAAAAAACAGCCAGAACGGATTAATCAGTTTTCAATGCATTCCCATGGGAAATGGTGCTTTGACTTACGAACGTTTTGATTTACGGCCACCATTCCAATATGGATTAAGTTTGTAAGTCAAGGCAGCACTATAATTTCTTACATTCTTGAAGGCTTTCACAGCCAGGATCCGATGGTTATTGCGTATTTACTGGGTAGTTTGGCAGTGTTTTTAAGTCTCTGTGGCTGGCATCTTCAGAGGACAGTGCTCCCCATCCTGTCAAGCTTGCATCTGTTGTAACTTGAATCTTGGACCTGAGATGCCTGAATGGCCTTCCATAGTTAAACTGGATTCGTCAAGCGACCAGAGGAGTTGCTATGCTAGTTCAGAGGATAAAGTCAGCAGTTTGGAATTGTTGTCCAACAACATATTGAAAGAGGCCAGATACCAGGCCTGAAGAGATCTCATTTGTAGGCATGTGTAAGATCACTGCCACTGTAGATACCCTGAAGCCAAGGATCTATCAGGAGAAAAGATATAAATTTCACGCCATAACCATGTTCAATTATGATTAGGACCCATTTTGCCATCGACAGGATGTCCTTGCAGAGGAGAGGTGAGTCTGGGTAGTGTCTCCCTGAGTTTCCATCCTTGCTGATCAGCCATGATGTTTAGGAGCTTTAGATTGGACTCCAATTCTGAGGATCAATCCAGGGAGCATGAAGTTGGTCTGGTTTTCTTAGGTTTCTTCAATACCAAAATCGAAGATGGGACTCAGGATCAGTGTGCAAGTTGGCTTTGTCAGGTCCGCTTCAGTGATTGGGACCATGATGGAGACCAGGGCAAGTGGCTATAGCATCATTTATGTGTGCTTGAATAGTCCATAGATACAGAAGATGTAGAGGACAGAGATGGAACATTCTGTATTCTTCTGTGTCAATGGCTTCAACATCAAAGTGTGCACTTGATCTCAGGCCAGTGATGTGGCTCAAGCACCCATTCTTTTAAGACCCTTTTAAAATTAGTCAGGCAATGGCAATTTTGATACCAAGTGATTGCACTCATGCTATAGCAGCAGGTGGGCAGCCTGCTTTGTTCACCTCTGTGTAGCCTGTTGGAGCCTATTGCCCATGCTCCATGAGATTAAAAAGGGAGTTCCATGCCCTTACCCCAGCCATCTTGATGTTGGGTCCCCATACCAAAAGACACTATGAAAGGGTAGACTGGCATTCCCAAGAGACAGCTTGGGGTCTTCTCTTGCTAAGCCCCAGTACATTCACAGAAGGATGAGGGGAAATGTCATGCAAGCCCTGGGTAGTAATAGGGCATGAAGCTGTAGAAATATGGTGGTGGGTACATCAGATCCTGTTCAACCTCTTGTTGGTGGCAGGTTGTAGCGGGCCACTCTGAAGCCTCTATCCACTCAGACCTCCAGGAGTGCTCACTACTCTTCCTCTTCAACTGCTGCCACCAATTATAATCAATATTTAAAAAAGACAAGTGTTTCTTCCTAAACAAAACTTGTTTATTGATATAATCAAATAAAATGAGTAAATCACAGGTAGATAATAAAGTTGTAAATCACTGTTTCTCATTCATTGAATCACACAGACTTTTCCTCACTGACTATTTTGGCTCACAGGCCTTCAAACATGCTCATCACTAACTCTCAATCTCTCAATCTCTCCATCATCCCCCTCTTCATCTCACACACCCCTTTTATATTTCAGCTCCTCCCCCTTCTGCACCACCCTCTGTCCCCTCATTGGCTGATGTTCCACTGCCCAGCTGTGACAGACAGGTGAGAGCAGGGCTGTATGTTACACAGGTCTTGTGAAAAAAAATTCAGTATAGTGCAATCTTTTCCCAAACAGGGGAGACTTATTCAAGAGACAAACCATGTGAATGTTTGCTCCTAGGGAAAACTTCAGCTTTCAGCGGTAGTTCTTGAAGTGAAGAAAGCCTGCTGACTGCATACTCCACTTGGGAATTGGCTGACAGTTGGAACTCAGCCTGGAGGCACACTGTTTCTTCCTCCAAAGCAGACCCAAGACATGAGTTCATCTTTTTCTTTCTCCACAGACTGTAGAGGAAGCAGTTGTGAACGGCAATCTCAAGGTCAGTAGTAGACTTTCAATTTGGATCACTTCTGATTCAGCTTCGTTCTTCCTCTGCTTGTCTTGGTTTTAATTCCCTGGATCACCTCCATGACAGCTTGTCTGGAGGGAGTGTTACACACTGATACTGGTAAGATGGAGGACGTCTACTGAGACAGGGATCCTACACCCTACAACAACTTTTCCCAAAGATGGAACTGAATCTGAGATTGCACTGGGCTAGGATTTTGTGTCCCTCACTGAGGCAATATAAACACTTAGAATGTCAACTGATGGGGAGGACTTTGTTGGCACACTTTTTTAAAGGACCCATTGGGGCCACAAAAAGGTGGAAAGGACTCAGAAGAAGAAGATGGACAGCAAATACTAATTTAAAAAATTAGGAAACACATAAAAATGGTGAGAACAACAAAGGAAGGAAATGGACCACAGCAATGATGAACAAAGGTAAGGTATAAACTGCTCTAGAGATGTGTTCAAATAAGTTCTCTCTGTGGCTTCTAAAAGGAACTAAAGGATAGTTGTTAGGTGCAGGAGCATGCGCAATGGAGGAGGGATTGCCCTAATGGGTCTTTTTCCTTTGAGCTCTAGAATATTCCAATGAGGTTTCACTCAAACGCCAAAAGACCCCTATGTGTGATTCAGACAGAATGCAATGAAGCACAAAGATGTCCAAGAAGCTAGGACTCAACATTTACAATTTGTCCCTAGAATATAACTGGTGAATATAATGAATGCAAAGAACAAGAATTTTTTGTTTATAAAATAGTGACATTTTATTTTTATCTCATGAACTGCCTCAAATAGACTTCACCTCAAAAGGCAGTACAAACATATTTTAAGCACAAATAAGATTGTTCATTCTTGGTTTTGCCATACCATGCTGCAGTCAGGTTCCTACACTCAGTGCTTATTTAGGAGACACACATCAGTGTGGAGAAACTACTATTTGCTAGTGGTATTATGGACACATGGCAGTGGCCATTCTTTAGACAATATGTACCTTACAGTGAACTATCACCTTAAGCAGACAATTATTTTAATGGTTGTTATAGGTTTTTCGGGCTGTTTGGCTGTGTTCTGGAGGTTTTTCTTCCTAACATTTTGCCATTCTCTGTGGCTGGCATCTTCAGAAGAAAAACCTCTAGAACATGGTCAAAAGTCTGAAAAACCTACAACAAACGTCGGCTCCTGGCCATGAAAACCTTCGAGAAAATTATTGTTATCATTTATCACTTAGCCTCATGGTTCAGTAGTTAAAGTGCAGTACTGCACTGAATACTCTGCTCATGACCTGAGTTCAGTCCTGTCTCAAGGTTTATTTGTTTATTTATTAATTACATTTATAGTCCGCCCATCTAGTCATATAGACTACTCTGGGCGGGTAACAACATAGCATATAATAATTTACAGTTTAAAATGACAATGTATTACTCATGACTACTATTATTAATACATCCTTCCAAGGTTGATAAATTTATTACCCACCTTGCTGGGTAATAATTAAATTCAAATAGCCCAGAGAGAGCTTTAAACACTACGGGGCAGCGGTATATAAGCAGCACTCTTTTTTAAACCCTTAATATGGCAATCTGTGAGGCGAAGAGTCACCTCAACCAGTGTCAGGAGAGTGTACTGTCCAACTCTCAAATAAAGACAGAAGCACCGTCAGGATTTGTGAACAAGGGGTTAAATTTAATATTGTACTAGAGAATGTGAAGCCATGCATGTAAGGTCAAAGCCAATGGATGACTAAGAGCATACAGGTGAGACAAGCTTACGTAATGCTTATTGACGGTGATCAGCTGCCATATGTGCAGTGATAGCTGTTCTGTGCAAGAGTCAGAACAGATCTTTGCCACTCAGTTGTGAGCCTGGTGGCCACTTGCTTTACTTGAATATGTATATAATTTTGCTCTGAGATGTCTATGGAAATGTACATGTTGCCATGTATATATATTTAACCAAGTTTAATACATAAGGTTATACATTGTATCAGAACTCTCTCTGTGCGTTTTCTCACGTTTGCGTCTTTACTCTGCTAATGAAGTGGGAAGATTTGAAGCAGCCAGATAAGAGGCTCTTTGGTAACTTGTCTTTAGTTCCAAGGTTTTTTCCCCAAACAGAGTGCTCTTACAAGCTTCATATCCGAATCTAACTCCAAGCTTTTGGAGAGGCAAGAGCCATATAAAGCCTCTGGAGTTGGCCCCACGTCAACAAGTGCAAGAGATGGGAGTTATAGTAAGGGGATTACGTAAATTAGAAATAAAGGAAGAGACTGAAGGGGGTGCAAATCAGGCGGGAAAAGAAGATAAGAAAGGGGAAGAAGCAGGGGGTGAGGTAGAAGCATGTTGGGGAAGAGAGGAGAAAGTAGAGGAAAAAGAAGAACTTGTAGAGTTGATCCAAGAAAACCCTTGGACAGAAAAGTGGGTGGAATTCAAAGTACCCTGTGAGTATGTTGAAAGGGAATGGAGACAACAGATGTATAGAAAGCCACCTTGCTGGGGGGAGATTGAGGAGAGAAAACAAAGGAAAGAGTACAAAGCATGGGTAAAGAGGAAAGAACAGAGAAGAAAAAGGCAAAGATGTATAGTGAGTCCAGAGAAATCCTGTGGGCCCAGCCCCTTCAGACCTTGATGGAGAACAGTACATGACTCGATAAAGGGGGAACGCCAAGAAGGTTTGACGCTCAATCCAGAAATTTGAAGTGGTCAGAGAACATGCCAGAGTTGATGTGTGCCAAACCCAAATGGTGTCATGATGTTACCAGTCATTCTCCGTTGTCATACCATGAAGAGATACTCAGTTTTAATACCAAAGATTTATGATTTATTGTTGAACTTGGATGATGGTAAATAATACAGTGGTGCCCCGCATAGCGAGGTTAATCCTTCCGGATTAACCATTGCTATGGGGAAACATCACTATACAGAACGGAAAAACCCACTGGAACGCATTAAACTTCGTTTAATGTGTTCCAATGGGGCCCAAAACTCACCGTTCTGCGATGTTTCCCCATCCGGCCGCCATTTTCGCACCCTCAGTAAGCGAGGGCAGGGTGCGAAAATGCTGCGCGCGGCCATTTTGAGCATCCAGCGGCCATTTTGGAACCGCTGATCAGCTGTTTTAAAAAAAATTGCTAAGCGAAAATCGGTAAGTGAAACACTTACCGATCGTCGCAAAGCGATCTTCGGCCATAGAAAGCATCGGTATGCGATCGCAATAGCGATCCCAAAAAACGGATCGCTATGCAAATTCGTCGTTAAACGGTGTACTCGTTATGCGAGGCACCACTGTACTCAAAAATTGATGAAGACATGTTAAATAATAAACCAGTTTTATTAGAAGAACTGGGTGTGATGAGTGATTCTTTGGACAAAGTTAAGAAAAAGGAGGTAGATGACAGGCAGCAAGATCACAGAATCAGAATTCTCAGAATGATTCCAGTGATTCCAATGCTTGCACTACCCTGCATGCAGGTGCAACAGTATGTAAATAAGGTTCATAGGGGTTGCTCTCTACCTGTTTTCCACAGAAAGGCTTGAGAATTACACAGGTATTTGTACAGTTCTTCTTGAAGAAGGGGTACGCAAAAAGAAACAGCAATAGTTGCTCATTAGTATTTTATGAGTATGAGGTTTGCCAAGACTCACTTCTTTAGTAATGCAAAGGACTGAGTTAAGGTTTTGCCCAGAACCTGGGATTTACCAAAGGCATAGATTTCTCTTCCCTCCACAAGAGGTGATTTGCAGCGCTGAAGTCTTCAAACTGGGTGGGGTGGGGGTATAAAGCTAGCAAGTCAAATTAGGAGCTTTCTCTCTTGACTAATGGTTCTAGGTGAGAACTAACTTAAGGGGAATTATTTTGAAAGGGAACTAGTAGAACATCAACCCCTACATGCAGAACATATTCACTGTATGTAAAAAAACAGGAATGATAATTCCAACATTTCTATGTCATTTTAAAACAGAAAATTCCTGGCAACGAGAGTCTGAAGGTTTCCAAACAGGACATGTGATGATTGCCTTCCAGATTTGTCACCAATGACCAGTATCCTGTTCAGGCCAGCACAATGTTGTTATGCTGGTGTAAATGTGCCAAGCATTATGCCCAGCAACAAGAGATTACACCATGCAACTGCACAATTGGTTACATGTCCCCAGCATGACTAATTGTACCACAAAAAGTGATTTGGGAATTGTACTTCCACCTCAGCCACTGCACAACCACAGGCATAACCTCAAGTTGTTTGTATGTAGCTGCACAACAGGATTTTGGGCGATATCTGGTATTAGAAAGTACTGTATATCATTCTATGGTTCCAGTTAGCTATCAGAAACAATAGGTACTAGCTGATTTATTTTGCACTGATGTGTTCTTTAAAAATAAATTTAATCTAACGGGGAACTGCTACTCGTTATGAAAATGACATGTTTGGTGTGCTCCTTCTCCTATTCTTAATTAAAAGGGGATGCCAAATGCTGGTAAGAATCAAACACATTTTCCCATGCATTTTCATTTTCCTTAACAAGGTTCTTGTAAAATCATCAGGTTTTAAAATGAAAAAAAAAAAGTAACTTGATATTCAATGTTAGAGCAAAAAAAAAGTTCCATAGTAATTACTTTGGAATTGTGATTTGTTTCTAAGCATCTGTAAAAATATCACTGTAACCATTTTATTTATGCAGAACAGAAGGCATGTGGGCCTTGGCTTCCTCTTTTTGAAACTGCCAGGACTAATGGCCCTCCTAGCTTTTCTACTACATGCTTGATCTTGGGGCAAGTGCTACTCACCTAAGAGAAGCAACAAATTGTGCGGCAATGTGGATTGTTACAACAGAAACTGAATACAATTATTATGGCATTACCAGTGATATATCCAGATACTGGTTTCAAACTGTGGAACTGCTGGTCATGTTTAGCTCTCTCTTCCACAGTTATGGCCCAGATGTCCAGGTTGCCTAGTCAAAGGGAAGAAATGAAGATGCAGACATGAAAAACATACTCAATAAATATAAATATATAGAATATAGACACTGAGGTATTTCTCATTTTCATGCACAAATTGGCTTAACCACCTAGGGATGCTGAAGCAAAGAGAGGTTACTTACCTGTAACTCTGGTTCTTTGAGTGGTCATCTGTGAATTCACACTAATGGGTTAATCTGTGCTTGCGCAGAGGTTTCCGGAATCTTCTAGAGCTTAACACTCATTCACAACGAACGCCCCCCCCCAGTGCACGTGGTCCACCCGTCCTGGCCTCAATTCCCAAACTGATCGCCGGTAAATAAAACGAAACAGATATGACAGACAGAGGGGAGGACGGGCAGGAAGTGTGAATTCACAGATGACCACTCGAAGAACCAGAGTTACCTCTCTTTCTTCTTCGTGGTCTCTCTGAACGCACACTAAAGGGTGATTAACAAGCTTACCTGCATAATGTGCCTTTCAGGTCCGCTTGTGCGGAGGTTGCCTGCAGATCAGCAATGGAAGCTGGGTATGACTGACACTCAAGAGACAGAGCAACCCGAAGGGCTTGAATGGTCATAACGAGACAGTACCGTAACCTCAGCCAAGGTATTAGCCCACGAGGGGGATTGAGCCAAGAGAGGCTATGGTGGTTGGCCTGAAGGCAGAGGCAAATAATTGTCATCTTCCACAGATATGGAATTGAGGCATAGAGTTTGCTGCTCTTGTAGCGGGATGGAAGAGGTTGTCTTGTCCTCCTGATGTTTGGAGGATAGAGAATCAGAGGACGATTTCTTAGGCTTCTTAGATTTGGACTGTTTTTTATATCAGTCCAAATCTGTATGTGAATGGTTTGAATGCTTGAAAGATGTTTGGAATTGGGGGGGACAAACAGGAAGATATTGAGATGTAAAAAACAAATAATTGTAAGCAAATATGCAACACGATGTCTGACAAGCACAAAACAATGTAGATAGACTGGAAAACTAATAAAATGTTTTAAAAAAAGATTTGGACTGTTTGTCCAGTACCAGAGGAGGCTTTGGTACCAGTGTAGACTTCGGCGTTGAAGCACCCGTGGTAGACTTAGTAATGGTCCTAGACTTAGGTTTCGAATTCGGAACCAAAGGCTCCTGGAGAAACTGATTGAACCTGAGAAGGTGGTGCAGGTTCCATAGTTGGTATGAGACGAAGGGAACGTTCCCACAAATAAGACTGTAGGTGTTGCTGCCTTAGCTTAAGAGCCTGTTTTGCAGACTTTTAACAAAAGGGGCAAGAAGCTGGTTGGTGAGCTTCGCCCAAACAGAAAAGGCAGAAATCATGGCTGTTGGTGAATGGAATTTTATTGGGGTACAAAGTGCACGTTTAAATGGTCCAGAGGAGGCCATAAACAAACAAACAAAAATAAAGAAAGGGGATTAAAGGAGGGGGGAGCGGCCAAAGGAAGGAATTAAAGACTCTCACTATCCAAAGATCTCTAACAAGAAAATTCCTTTTTTAATGCAGGAGGCGAATGCAGCACATCTGAGAGAAGAAACCTCAGTGAGGCACTAGCCAGGACAGGCGGACCACGTGCACTAGGGGGCGGTCCTGGCAAACAAGTGCTAAGCTCTAGAAGATTCCGGAAACCTCTGCGCAAGTGCAGATTAACCCATTAGTGTGCATTCATGGAGACAACAAATAAGAAGCTGAACTCCACCAATATTACAGACAACACAAGACCACTATGGGCAGTTCCTTGCTACAGATCTACCAATAAGGCAGACTGATGATACAAGCTGCATGCAAAACTGGATACACCTTGCTGCTGAAGTTCTGAAATCCACAAATATAGTCACCAGTGGCACTACAAATGCAGTTCTGGTGACTAAAACAATCATGACTACAAATACAGTTTTAAAAGCAACTAGCAACACAGGAAGACAAAATGTCCTCTTCAAAATGTCAGAAAATAGCATCTTATGCTGAGGTGCATCACTATCATGGCTTTAAAGTCACTTATCTTTTCTGTAAAAAAAAAACTTTAAATGGCAGCAGAAATACTTTTTCAATCTCAGGGAAAAGGATGCAAAAAAACCCTGACCTTCATGTCATATCGGAATTGATTACCGGCTGTCATGTTCAGACAGGTTGGCTAGATTCCAGAAGAAAGTGCTCCATTAGTAACCTTCATTCAGTTTAGCATCCCCACCCACCAAAACTGTCTGATACAAGTTGATCTATCCACAGAATATAAAGGGCATGTTTGTGTATCAAGCCAATATTCTTTAGAACAAATGGTGCTGCTTGACTCTGGCTCCAGGGATAACCAGAGTGCCAGATGAACACATCACAAAAAACCACACAATGAAGGTATACGGTTTGTTCAGCCCCTCACACTTGTTGTGGGAATAACTAGGTGTTTCAATAAGCCAAGAGATACAACTGGTATCTAAAAAAACCTCTCGCTTCTCATGGGTCCCAGACAAGGACAGAGTTAAATGCAAGGAACCCTAATCCTTGGTGCCTTCCTCTCCTGTCACTGTGACTTCCTACAACCACTCAAAAACACTTGAATACATGTAAGCAGTAAACTGCTTTGCTAAACACTTTCCATAGGCTAACCATATTTGCCTGTTGCTGTAAAATAAGAAAACTTTAAGACTAAAATAAATACAGTGGTGCCTCGCTTAGCGATGTTAATTCGTCAAAAAAAATCGCTGCTAAGCGATTTCATCGCTAAGCGAAATGCGGTTTCCCATTGAAATGCATTGAAAACCGGATAATCTGTTCCAATAGGAACGAATTGCCGTCCTTAAGCGAAAATCGCAATAGGAAACATCGCTAAGCGAAATGCGGTTCCCCAATTGAAATGCATCCCAATAGGGACCATCGCTAAACGAAGTGCAAGATCGCTCCGAAAAAGTCATCGCTCAGCGATTTCATCGCTAAACGGAGCGCCCGTTAAGCAAGGCACCACTGTAAATAAATTATAAAATGCACTTAATAGCTAACAGTCTACTTCTTCAGATGCATGATTTTTGGGGATCCTACAGTGGTGCCTCGCTTAACGATTGCTTCGTACAACGAAAAATTCACTTAACGATGGCTTTTTCGGAGCAATCTTGTGCTTCACTTAACGATTTTCCCTATGGGTGATTTTCGCTTAACGATTTCGGGACCATGCTTTGCTTAACGATGACAGTTTTAGGTCCCCTTGTTTCGCTTAACATTTTTTTTACAGCCCTGTTTTTGCTATTTTTAAAATATTCTAAAATGTTTAAAAAATGTTTAAAAACTTGGAATCGTTAGTGCACCTAATAAAACCTTCGTTAACTTAATTTGGCTTTGTTCTGAGTCTTTTTGAATTTTTTGTGAATTTTTTCCCCCATTGAAATAGGCTTCAAAGCATTTCAATGGGTTTCGCTTAACGTTTTTTCCTATGGGGATTTTCGCTTAAGGATGCAATCCGTTCCAATTGGAACGGATTATCCGGTTTTCAATGCATCTCTATGGGAAATGGTGTTTCGCTTAAAGATGTTTTCACATAGCGATTTTTTTTTTTGAACCAATTAAAATCGGTAAGCGAGGCACCACTGTACTGTATATATAAAATACATATGACTGGAATGGGATATATAGCATGTATGATTAGGAGCCAAAACCAGATAGTGGCTTGGGAGTGAATTTAAATGTAAAGTTATTAGCAATTATAATTATACTAACATAAATATCCTTGCACTAATTGATATATGACTGTTATTTTTTTCTGAATACTGTAATTACATGTGAAGAAGATGAGCCTGTGGGTATTTTGCTTTACACACCTAATCAATTTTTACTTGTGCTGTTGAAATTTCATAAAAAGAAGCCTCAGAAAATTCTACATGCTTACCCCCAAAAGGTGTTGGAAACTGAGCCATGGTTTAATCACCTTTAACTCACTAATGGATGCCTGAAATAAAGAACAATACATTGAGACAAACTGATACAGCAGCATATTTGAAGCTCAACTTACAGTATCATGCATTGAAGATTAAAGATAATACTTCAGTAACAACTTTTTGAAAATGAAAAAAGAAGTTGTGTAAATATAACCGGGACAAAATTCCCACAACTAAGAAGCATCTATCTTATTTTCCCAACACTATTGAATATCTACCTGGAATGGCTTCTCTAGGCTTCAGCAAAGTCCTTCTAATCTTTTCACCACATGTGGGTCAAGGCACAGTTACTATTAAGCTTTATTTGCAGACTCACCGTAGGCACATAATATCCTGTTGTCCCAGCTCTGTCTTCATCTGGACCAATCCATTCAAATCTCACTTCTGCTTTTCAGTTCTTAGTCACGACTACAGCATAATTCTGTGCCTCAAAGCCTCACTTAACTATAACTCAACCTCCCGTGATAGACAGTATCCCTTAAAATTGTATCTCATTTAAACTCTGTCAGAGCCGTCTTTAGTCTCTAGTGCAGGGGGCCCAACCCCCGATCTGCAACCCAGTGCTGGTCCATGGCCTGGGCCGCAGAGACATATCTCCCACCCACCCCGCATGCACCCTGCCCCACACTGCCCCTTCGCGCATGCACGCGTGTCCCCCTGCCCCTTCACATGAGTGCACATCCCCGCTCACTGAGCACCCTCGACCCTTTGCACATGTGTGCACGTGAGTGCGCCCCGCCCCTTCGCACATGAGCATGGGAAGGTGCCCAGCCTTGCCCTCACACGGACCCCATCCTCCCCCAACCAGTCCACAGTTTCAAAAAGTTTGGGGACCACTGCTCTAGTGTCATCCTGATTTACCACCTCCTGCTTCCTTTCTGCTTTTCCTGTCTTTTCCACATGTACTACTTTTTCCTATAATGTAAGCAATACAGTCTTGCTTTTCCCAGAACTCTGGGACAAGAAGTTCAGTGACATCATGATACTAGACATAGTAACATTCAGGAAATATGAGATTGAGTTTTCATGAATTTATCTACAACTAGGATAAAAAGAGAGACACATTTAATTGTAACTACCTGTTGGTTTGCACTGAGAGCAATTATGCAACACAATAAGCGCATGACTGGTCTAATGATATTATTCTACAATTACTGGACCTTCTAAAATACTAGAGAACACTTCGCTTAACTTGGTTGTTCCAGCTGTCAGTAAACTTCACTGGGATGATGTAGGATCTTTAACAATTAGTACATGAACAGCAATGTTAACTTTCTGTTTGAATCCATATAAAAACATTCAGGAATGCAGACAGAGGCAATAAGTTTGAGAAAGTCAACACCGTCAAGTCAAGCCATTTAAATCTCAAATGTCTTAAAAGAAAGATACGGATCAAATGGTTTTCAATGCATTCCTAGGGGAAATGCAGATTTGACCTGAGAACTTTTTGACTTGAGAACCGCCTCCCAACACGGATTAAGTTCTTAAGTCAAGACCCCACTGTACATGAACAGCGATGTTAACTTTCTGTTTGAATCCATATAAAAACATTCAGGAGTGCAGACAGAGGCAATAAGTTTGAGAAAGTCAACACCCTCAAGTCAAGCCATTTAAATCTCAAATGTCTTAAAAGAACTAGTGAAGCAGTAGCTAAGATTCCTGCTAAACGCATAATATAATAATATGAATGGAGAATTTTTTAAAAAAACAGAAATGCCCTCTGATTGCCTCATTTTTAAAAATCTGCTTTACATCAGTATAGATATAAAACAAAGACTCAATGATCTATAGCAGCCAACATTTGAATTGTTTTGTACAGATTACAAAAGTGAAACTGTCACATTTTCACCTCAGATAAAGCTAAGTCGTTGATCTCTATTCTGATCTTGCACAAGAGCAAGTGAACTCAACAAAAGTAAACCTTTCTAGCTCTCATGAAACAACAGAAGATGCTTAGGAATGCCAAGGAAATAGGTTTTAAAATAAACAACAGATACCTCCTCTGCATAAACTCTTCACAGTCCAGTGCTTTAAAAAGATGAAAGCTACCAGAAAATGCCTTTATGCAGCTAGGCTAGTTCTGCCCTTAAGTCAGAAGACTGGACATGATGATCCCCATTTCAACTGCAAAATATTTGCAATGCATCATATGTAAAAAGATCCAGTGTTGCATAGTGGATAGAGTGATAAACTAGGAGATCTGTTGGTTGTTGCGGGTTTTCTGGGCTGTTTGGCCGTGTTCTTAAGGTTTTTCTTCCTAACGTTTCACCAGTCTCGTGGCCAGCATCTTCAGAGGAGAGAAGTCAGAACTCTGGTGCAGTTTGTTGGATAGTTGAGTATTTGTAGTTGTGGGATCAGCTTTTGTCCTTTTCAGGAGACTGAGTTATTATGATGATCAGCATTTTTTGTTTTGCTGTGGGTGTATTGTTGTGACAAGGGTGAGAGATGATCTGTCACTGGGATTGATGGGTGTTGTTAGCTGGTCTTTTGCATGCAGTGATCACCAGTCCTTGTGGCTGGGTAGAGTTCGTTGACCTTTTGCACGCTGTATTTTTCAGTGCTGGGAGCCAAGCTTTGTTGAGTTTTAAACTTTCTTTTTTGTGTGTTTAAGTTCTGCTGTTGTTTGTGGATTTCAATGGCGTCCCTGTGCAGTCTAACGTAGTGATTGCTGGTGTTGTACAGTATTTCAGTATTTTGAAATAGAATTTTATGTCCAG